ATGTACAAAAGAATATGCGTGAGATTCGGCGTACGCAGTGTTTCATACATCTGAATATTTTTCTGCATACGCACATTTACAGCTTTGTGCGTACGCAATGTTTTAGTAAGATTTCCACGCAAGTATTCGTACATGAGGCCCCTGATGTTTAGGAGACCAAGCCTTACGAAATTTGTATTTTCACTTTCTACTGGTTTTTCTGGTTTGATTCTTAATAGATTTTTTCTGGAGCACACAGTACGTTTATTTCTTAATCTAATAATACGAGGAAGAGACACAGTCTCTATAGGATTTGCAAGATATGCGTTACTGATGTTTAAGTGGGACGAACAAGAGTCTAGGTGGCTATAATGTGAATTTTGTGAATTTTTACCTGCTAGTCAGATGGTGCGAAGTAATCTGGAGATGTTGTCCGACAGGAGTTCAGCTCCGGCTCGACTGGGGTGCAGGCCGTCAGCACGGAAGAGCCTAGGACGCTCCCAGAAAAAATTCCAGTTATTAGCAAAGAGCAATTTCTGTTCTTTACACCATGTTATTAGCCATTCATTCAGAGCTAAAAGTCTACTGAACCTTTCATTTCCTCGGCGGTAGGTAGGAAGCAGCCCTGAAACGATGATCTGCCTGGCGGGCGAGGTGCGTCGAACCGCCTCGATCAGGCTCCTGAAGTCCTTCTTCAGGATCTCCGACTGCCTGAGCCCGGTATTGTTTGTCCCAATGTGGAGGACAACGGCACCAGGGCTCTCGGCAGCACCCAGGATGGTTGGAATCTGTGTAGAAATATTTCTCACACGGGCACCAGGAAAGCAGAAAGTACGTACTTTATTACCTTTTGAGGAGGCGGCACGGACGTGACGAACAATCGAGTCACCGATGATGGCCACATCGGGATCCGACTCGCGGAGAGGGGAGAAGCGGTTCTCGGTGGAGATCTCGAAAACGTGAGGAGGAGACGTTCTGCCCCAGGATCTGGCAAGCACCTTACGCGGCTGCACCCAGGCGCCGTGGTAGCCGGGTGTCGGCGTGAACGACGCCTGGCCAAGCCGCGCCCCGGGTGCGCTGGGCCTGGACAGAGAAGGACGCGGGTTGAGGTAGAGGGAATGATGTGGTTGTAATTTCCACGTACCTTAGATGATGAGGCGGCCTTAGCGTTAGGCACAACAAGCAGTTGTTCCTGCAGCCGCGTCCACCTCATCAGATGTGCCCGGATCTGGGACTCCACTTCTTCCAGCTCCAGCTCCAACGCCTCCATCGATGCTTCTCCTCCACACAAGGACAGAGACGCAAGCGACATTTTACGGGGTAAAGAGCAAAGCCAGTATGTCAAAAGTGTATGGTAAAAGAGGTTGGTAGCTTTAGCTGACCAGCGGCGCTAGCAGGCTAAATCTACAAACAACAGGCAGATGCTCGAGGGACAGACCGTTTTAAAGCAGTTTTGTTTGTATAAATGTATTAAGGGTTTGTTCACCCTAGGTGGAAGGGAAAAATAGTTAGCGAATGAGGAAGAATTTTATGATTAAGATTTAAATTGCGAGTAAATAGCGAGTCCAAACTTCAAGAAAATGCAGTAGGGGACCGAACGGAGACAGTGACGTCAGTGACGTCACTCGAGCCCTTGCAGGTGTACTGTGTTTTACAGGGCATTATGTCTTTCGTAAAAACGTCTTTCAAAGAATTCCAATTTGTCAGCAGATAGTGTCGCCACATAAAATATTTCTTGCATAGTGGCTTGCTGGTCTAGGAGTATGATTCTCGTTCATGCCATGAGAAATCCTAGGTTCCAATTTCAGTTGAACCCTTACAGTTGTCTTTTGTTTTGTATGGGCGTTGTGGCTTACACAGAGGCCTTTTTTCTGAGAATGCCGGTTTGTCAGCAGATAGTGTTGCCATGTAAAGTGGCTGTTTTGCAGTTGCTCGTTGGTCTATGGGCTTGATTCTCGCATAAGGTGCGAGAGGTCCCGTTTTCAAAGCCTGGACGAACCATTGCAGAAGTTCCGGGTTCAAAAGAAGCAAAAGCCCTGCTTCAATGTTTGTTAGATAAGGACTTCTGACCATCTGTTGCTTCTGATGTCTTGTGAAATATGCAAGCTTTTATGGCTAGTTGGTCTAGGGGTATGATTCTCACTTTGGGTATGAGAGGTCCCGGGTTCAAATCCCGGATGAGTCCTTGCAGTTTCTCTGTTGTTTAACAGGGCATTATGGCTTTCATAAAAAACGTTTTTCGAAGAATTCCAGTTTGTCAGCAGATATTGTCGGCACATAAAACATTCCTTTGCATAGTGGCATGGTTCTCTAGGAGTATGATTCTCGTTCATGCCATGATAAATCCCAGATTCAAATTTCGGTTGAGCCCTTACAGTTGTCTGCTGTTTTGTAAGGGCGTTTTTTGTAAGGGTGTTTTGTAAGAGGCCTTTTTTTCTGAGAATGCCAGTTCGTCAGCAGATAGTGTTGCCCTGTAAAGTTGCTTTCTGAGTGAACTATGCTTTTAAGCCAGGGGTCACCAAACCTGTTCCTGGAGGTCTTAAAATGACAACCAAAGAGTTTGTTTCCAGTTTTTTCCAGTTGTTTACACACAATTTCTGAAAGCATGTTTCATATTGTCAGAACTCTACACACAAATCCCAAAACACACACACATTGGGCAAAACTCTTCAATTCTTCTGCAAAATGAAACTATACGTTCAAAACAATGTGATTTCTTCTCAAAATGGTATTTTGTTTTCAAATGACACACACAAGCCATCACATTAACAGACATTCATAAGATAAGTTAAACACTAATGTGCTTAATGTAAAACACTATGACGACTTCTTCTCTATTCATCATAATGACTTTCTGTTAGCCTTTTTCAGTTCAGTGTTACACTTACTACAGACAGTACATAGACCTACAGAAGTGCATTGTAAAATTTTTCTGAAAATTGTTTTTATACAAAACAAACAAATACCGAATATATTTTACTGTATTTTCCCCACAAAAACAGCGTACAAAGTGTTGATCCCAACCAACACAAAGTTGCAGAAAATGTGGTCTACATATACCATCAACAGAAGTATTTACTAAATACAGTTACAGAAAATACATAAATAAATAAATAAAAAAACAGCTATACTGCATTCTCTTTTCTGTTTTGGTGTGGCCAAGCAGTGGGGGAAAAGTCACCTTGCATGGCAAATCCAGCCATGAAAAGCATCAACTGCTATAGCTTGGAGAAGGGGTATAGGTGTGTTTGGATTTCGGTCATACACTTTTCATCTCTAGGCAGGAAAAAAATCCTCAATAGTTTTGAGGAATGGAGATTATGGAGAGGGAGATAAACAACTATAAAAATTGTTGTGCAGTAAACTAGTTGTGAATCAGATGAGCTCTCAAATGTAATTCAATTTGTCGCACTATCCATTATGCCTCAAAGCTATACAGTTTTATAATTTATTTCGTTAAGCTCTATGAAAAAAGCACACGCACCAACCTGAACTAAGGCGCTGCTGGGATTTGAGCCCAGGATCTCCTGTGTACACGACAGGCACTTTGACCAGCTAAGCCACAGCGCCACAAATGGATAGCGCATTGGACTTCTTGGCTGTGAGCCGAGTCATTTAAAGGTTTTGGGTTCGAGTCCCACAAGAGTTGCAAGCTTTGCCCTTTTTCTTCACTGACTTAAGGTGTGGTGCGTTTCCAACATTTCAGGCATCTGTCCATCCCGTTTTGCTTTTTTCTTTCATTGCGCAGTGCAGGCTCAGATACTAGGGGTACTCTACAAGGAAGCCGATGACTTAATTGAGCTGTTTTAAATAAGGAAGATTATAAAACAGTGTAGGGCCGAGTGGACTTGAGGAATGACTCGAAGGCAAACTGTGGTTTAGGGTAAAAGTGACTGCCATTTATTCTTAAGATCACGCCTTTTGGATTTGTCATACAAGAGCCTCTTTATGCATGTGCAAAGTAACTGAGTAGAAAGCATAGTAAATTTTGCTTCCCCCACACTGTCTTAGATGAAACTGTTTTAGAAGTATCGTATCCAGAGGTTTTTTCTTTTAGTGTTAAGACTAACGGCTGTTTCACACCGCAAGCGCCAGCAGCACGTGAGCAGAGCGTGTTTTTTCGGCGTCCTTGTTAACAGATTAGAGCTTTCATAATGCACGCAGTAGCAGCGCGTCAGAGCGAGGCGTGAGCGTCGCTGAAGCAGCAGTGCAGCGATAGTTTTGGTGCCGGGTCTATTTTTGACGCGCTGCTCACGCTCAATTAAAGTGACAGTGCATTAATAATGACCAAAACACAATGAATGACAGTAAAAAGTAGCAATTGTACCCAATAAATGCCTTAATAATGTCAACTGATTTATATATAGTCAATTGTAACCCAGGTTACTAGTGGGTAGTACACAGCAATAGAGCAAATAGAAACACCCTTATAAATATGAAAAAAAAAAAACATTGGCAGAATACTCGATTAATTATTATATATTAAAATTATTTATTTATATAAATAATTCATAATAGAGTATTATACAGCATTCAAGGGAATAGTGCTTTAGAAGAACATCATCGTGCCTTACACTATAGCAGCAGATCAGATTTACAAACAATAACAAATCTCTGTCTGTTAGCTTGTGTTTACCGTTGCTATGGTGATTCAGTGTTCGCAAGGGAATGCAGAGATGTAAGTTGTTATATTAATAACAGTAGAAAACTATTAGATTTATATCTTTTAATGTTTTAAATGCGTATTAACTGTGAAAATTGACCATTAATAAGATGCTGAAATGATTTCTATCATATATTTTTAATGAAGGATTGAGAGAAAAAAACAAGATTTGTATCTGTGAGTGAAATGCTATTTAAGTAAAATGCTGTCATTTGTAAAAAGAAAATGCCAAATAGGAGAGAGAAATAGGAAAAACACAGAAATTCAGCAGAGAGAAGCATATACATGGTCATTTATTGTTGCTGTTTATTTACAAATGTGTTAAGCTGAGATAATGCATACACTGTAAAATGCTAATGGTTTTTTTTCTCCCCTTTGTTTGTTTGCTTGTGCATCTTCTTCTGGTTTTTCATCGGTGAGATGTTCTATTGAAGTCAGTTGCTGAATGTGATCTGCTCTGCATTCAAATTAATTGAAGTGTGAACTCTTTTCTGGATTTGGATTGTCTCAACTTCCATCGGTGATTGTCTAATTGTGGAGTTGGACTGGCGAGCCTCCCATTAAGTGGATTTTTTGGATACACCTGTTGGAAAGATACAAAGTGAAACCTATTCAGCGTCATGGTAGGAGTGTAAATTTACAACACACTCACAAGTGCAACATCCTGGATCTCTGAAACTGAATTTGCAACCTAGTTGTTTTGCAAAAGAATCTTTTTGAGTGTTCATCACCTGTACTGGACTTTTGGGAAAATTTGAAATGTTTTAAGTAAATGTTTTATTTTCATTTTTATTTTATTTGTACATTGTTTCATTGGAGTGTTCATTTGTTGCAATTTTTGAAGCTTTATAGAGAGAAGTTAATTGGTTTAAGAAGGGAAACCTTGATTATATATTAAATAATAAAACAATTTTAATATTGTACTATTAAGAGGGTTTTGGACGATGGCATTATATAGCATGGTATGGTGATGCGTAACCAATTGGACTTTAAAATTTTTAAGTCTAGACATTCAAACATGCAGTGCTACCGTTTTTACCGTTTCTTTTTTCGATTAAACAAATACCCCCTGTCTGTTTTTGTGGCTTAGTTGGTCAAAACACCTGTCTAGTAAACAGAAGATCCTATGTATGAATCCCAGCAGTACTTTATCTGCAGTGAGCTGTGCTTTTATGGGCCAGAGAGTACCAAAAATTGCTTTCTGTGCAACAGTGCTAGAGGCAGGAGCTCTGTGGTGCAATGGATAGTTCATTGGACTTCTAGGCTGTGAGCTGAGGCCAGTGCGAGCCAGGATGAGCCGGGGCAATTGCCCAGGAGGTTAAGCAGTGAGGCCGAAATCATGTTGCGTTTCCACTGTCGGGCTAGTAGCTCGCAGCACGTCACGCAAACCCCGCCCCATAACATCCCCCGAATCAAACGTCACACAACCCGCCCACTTCAGCAGGAATCAGCCAGATAAAGCACACCATCACATCCTCACGAAACCATTCAAATAAAGACAACTGAAACAAACAATTGACACGTTACTGTACAACATTACATTTTATGTCTATACGCACATGCCTGTGTGTTCTCATTCATCATATTCATTTACTCACCGACCGACTGAATTTGAAACTAATTTTCATGCGAAGCAACACGCCCCTTCAGCTACTCCAGAACGCAGCAGCATGAGTGGTCTTTAATGAATTGAAAAGAGCACATGTCACTCCGCTACTCACCCGTTTGCACTGGCTGCCAGTTGCTGCTCGCATCAAATTCAAAGCTCTGATGTTTGCCTACAAAGCGACCTCTGGCTTTGCTCCCTCTTATCTGCTCTCACTTCTGCAGATTCATATGCCCTCAAGAAACTTGCGTTCTGTGAATGAACGTCGCCTCGAGGTTCCATCCCAAAGAGGGAAGTAATCACTTTCCCGAACTCTCGCATTCAATCTGCCCAGTTGGTGGAATGAACTCCCTAACTGCAACAGAACGGCAGAGTCACTTGCTGTCTTCAAGAAACGACTTAAAACTCAACTATTTAGTCTCCTCTTCACTTCCTAATCTGCAATTGCCTCTAGCTATACCACTAACTGTACTCAAAAAAAAAAAAATAATTCTTACATTACTAATGCTTTCCTTCTTAGACTTTACAGCCCTGAAACTTGCCTACAGCACTTATTTATTGTTGCTCTTATAGTTGTGATAATTGCTTCCTTGTCCTCATTTGTTAGTCGCTTTGGATAAAAGCGTCTGCTAAATGACTAAATGTAAATGTAAAACAGCGAGCTGTGTACACGCCCTTAAAATGACACATTATAACACATTATAATAAAAAAATCTGGATTGTGTTTTGAACTGAACCTAGACTGGCACACTCAGAAGAACCATAATAATAATGTTAAATCATTAAAAAAGGGGTAAACTATGTGCCCTTTAAGCAATGTGTTTACTTTATTAATTATTCAATAATCATCAAGATTGATAAAAAAGTTCAACACACACAGCAGTGAACGTGTGCACACACACACACACATCAGTGAACATGTACAAACACACACACACAGTTGATACAGTAGGCCTACATACTGTATCTACCTTGGAAGAATTGATATGGTTCTTTAAGTGTTGTTTTACGTATGGAGCCTGATTGAATTTTATTATAGCGTCTTCGTAAAAACATCTGTCCATAATTCCTGAAAATAGAAAAAATATATATATATATAAATAAAGAAACTGCACAGAAACGATTCAATCATATTAAAGAGATTTGAACTAACCTTCTAACACAACTAGCGGTCCAGGTCCCTGATGGAATATGGCTCCCCAGACATGAATTTTTACTGGATGCTTTGGTTTCGATTTCACAACATGGCGGTTTATTAATAGGGTATGTCCTATTAATAAATTTGTAGGACATGTAAGCTCGTATAAAGCAAATAGCCTAAATAAAGAGATGCATGGATTAATGTAAATAAATAAATCTTTTCATTATGGCATTGTTCAAAATGGCTTACCTGGCTTTTCCAGAGGTCCACCTGAGTTGTTTTACTGGTTTTCTAATATTGCAGACTGATGCTTTTAACTGTATTCTAAACAGAAGCTCACTCTGAATCTTTTTAGCAGATCGCTATTGTGGATTGTGCTGCACAGCCAACTTAAAAGGGACTGCATCAAAGACAACCCAGGTGGCACATACTAAAAACAACAAGAACAAAAAGTATTTATAAAAAAGTAAGAATTTTTTTTGGCACAGCAGGGTCTTTCTTCAGGGCTCGTTGGTCAAGGGGTATGATTCTTGCTTAGGATGTGAAAGGTCCTGGGTTCAATCCCCTGACGAGCCCTACAGCTGTCACAGAAAAAGCAGTGGAACTTTGGCATTTCTACTTTAATTGTAGCACCTTTTGCTGTGACTTTAGTTAATGAACATTTAGTGGACTTCTAATTTAAATTAGTTTAACATGTACAATTATACAGACAAAACCGTCTGCTACCCTCAGGCAGATGGTTCCGCAGCATCTGGTTACGCACCAGCCGGCTAAAGGAAAGTTTCTTCCCTCAGACTATCAGGCTGATGAACACTTAACACACAGGCTCTTCCATACCCTCACTGCACACCATCAATATGTAGCATGCACTGACCTTTAGCCAATCCATACTTGAAACAACACTGCCTACAACTATGTGGACACCTATTCATTGTACATATCGCTGTCAATTTCACATTGTCATTTTATTTGTCTGTTATTTGTACTGTCGTTGTATTTGCACTGTCATTGTTTTTGCACTATCTGTATTTTTTACTGTTTGTACAGATAATTTTTCATGATTTTTGGTGAATTTTTCATGATTTTTGGTGATTTTTTCATGATTTTTCAAGATTTTTTCATCTTTCATGATTTTTCGTGATTTTTCAAACTTTTTTCATATTTTGCGATTTTACAAAAAATTTTCATTTTTTGCGATTTTTCAAAAAATTTTCATATTTTGCAATTTTTAAAAAATTTTTCATTTTTTGCGATTTTTCAAAAATTGTTCATATTTTGCGAATTTTCAAAAATTTTTCAGTTTTTGTGATTTTTCAAAAATTTTTTATATTTTGCGATTTTTCAAAAAAATTTCATTTTTTGTGATTTTTTAAAAAAATTTCATATTTTGCGATTTTTCAAAAAAATGTCATTTTTGCGATTTTTCAAAAAAATTCTTTTTTTGTGATTTTTTTGTGATTTTTCAAAAAAATTTCAGTTTTTGCGATTTTTCATAATTTTCATTTTTTGAGATTTTTCAAAAAAATTTCATTTTTTGTGATTTTTCATAAATTTTTCTTTTTTGTGATTTTTCAAAAAATTTTCAGTTTTTGCGATTTTTCATAAAATTTTCTTTTTTGTGATTTTTTGCGATTTTTCAAAAAAATTAATTTTTTGTGATTTTTTGCGATTTCTCAAAAAAATTTCATTTTTTGTGATTTTTCAAAAAATTTTCATTTATTGTGATTTTTTGCGATTTTTCAAAAAATTTTCATATTTTGTGATTTTTTGCGATTTTTCAAACAATTTTCTTTTGTGATTTTTAGTGATTTTTCAAAAACTTCATTTTTTGTGATTTTTTGCGATTTTGTAAAAAAATTTCATTTTTTGCGATTTTTCAAAAAATGTTCATTTTTTGCGATTTTTCAAAAAATTTTCATTTTTTGCGATTTTTCAAAAAATTTTCTTTTTTGTGATTTATTGCGATTTTTCAAAAAAATTCGAATTTTTGTTATTTTTAAAAAAAAAATCATTTTTTGTGATTATTCAAAAAATTTTAATTTTTTGTGAATTTTCAAAAATTTTAATTTTTTTGAATTGTTTATTATTTTTTAATTTTCGTGATTTTTTGTGCATTTTCAAGATTTTATCATTTTTCATGATTTTTCTTGTTCTTTCAAGATTTCATTTTTCGTTATTTTTCTGTTTTTTCATTTCTCGAGATTTTTCATGACACTGAAGCGGTTCCAGCAGTACATTCTCAGCAAAGATATAGGCTTTATTTTATTTTTTTAACTACTTTATTAAAAATATATATCATGCTGGCAACATTTCATGCAAACTACAACTTGTAACTCACAGAAACCCCCAAAGGACAGGCCTTTTCCTGCAGTGGCGGCCAGCTCCAGCTCATCGGGTTCTAGAGGTGACGGTGGATGCGCAGATGATGCGCTACTTGTGAAAACCCTCAATGCTTTTGAAGCACAAGGTGCACAGCAAATTAATTGGTGTTCAATTTTTAAGTGTTGTGGTAATTCAGAGTGATGAGTTGTTTAATGTGATGAGTTGTTTTAAAGATGTTGAAAATAAAAATAAATTTTATTGTGTAATTTGTTTATTTTTTTTATTCATTATTATTTTATTTAAAGTTTTATTCTCAGTTGATTTCATCTTTGGTTTTGGCTACTGCTGCCAGTATTTTGATATACATTTTACATATATTTTACACAATAAGAGTTTGCTAATTAACACTCTCTGAGTGGTAAAATTTTTTTAACACTTTCAAAAGTGTTATTTTAACACTTTTATAGTGGTTCCCATATAAACACTGAGGGAGTGTTAATTTGAACTCTAAGGTAGTTAAATCTACAATCTAAAATTTGCAGTGTGTATAACCCTTTATTATTGTCTTTAATTGTTTATGTACCATAGCATAATCAATGAAACACAACATCAAAACACTGTGCTGATGAGATTGTCTTCTTGCTGCTTTGACACTGACTTTTGCCTATCTTGTGTTTTTTTTTGTCCTTCTTTAGCAGTTGAGGACAAAGGCGGTCTGCCGAAGAAACCACTCAGCTCCTCTGAAAGACAAGGTATATCACATAATGAATGTCACTTATTAACATTTATTCATACTGTTGCAGCATGAACTACAGTTGAGGACGCTCCTGTGAAATATTTATTCAAGCTAATGGAGCAAGGACATTTTCACAGTACTTACGATAGTATATTATCTTCTGAAGAAAGTTTTATTTGTTTTATTATTTATGTTTTTTATTGGCTACAAAACAAACAGTGTTAAGCTAGTTAAGCCTTTACTTTCTCAATCTAAATATGGTAGCACATCAGAATAATAGTCCTTTAGTTAATCAATTTACTAACACTAAGTGTCACCAATCTTGTGCAGCATTTATTAATTACAGGTCAACATTAATGCATTATTAAAATCCAAAGTTGTGCTTGTTGACATTATTTCATGCACAGTGCATTAATGAACTAACGTTATTTAACTTAAACATTAAATCGTTAACAAAGATGAATGAATACTGTAATTAATGTATTAAACTTTTAAGTCATGTCAGTAAATGCATTAACTAATATTAACTAATGGACTATTACTCTAAAGTGTTACCTTAAAGGGTGACACTTTACAATAAGTTTGTATCAGTTAATGTCAAAGCATTTACTACCATTAACAAGCAATGAACAATACACTTAATGCAGTATTTGTTCGTGTTACAGTCATCCATGCCAACTCACAGTCCATCAACTAAGCATTAAATATTATTTTAATAAAGCATTAGTACATGTTGAACTATGATTAAAAATGTTGTACAAGCATTGTTCATAATTAGTTCATGTTAGTAAACACATTATCTAATGAAACCTTATTGTAAAGTGTGACCCAATATTATGTTCTGTCATCATGGCAAAGATAAATTATAAGAAATTAGTTATTAGAACTATTATGTTTAGAAATGTGCCTGAACAAGTCCTCTCTCCATTACACATAAATTGTGAAAAATAAACTCAAATTTAACAGGGGGGCTTATAATTCCGGCTTCAATTGTATGCATTAATAGATAAAAGTCGTCACACTAAGACACTGTCTTCTGATAATCACAACTGTGCTCATTTAGGAGCCGGGGAAGCAAAGAGAAGAAAACGTTCCTGTGAAGATCTGTCACAGAAGCCCCACTCAGACTCTCCACTGTCTGCTGTAAGTTCATCGTTTGTACATCACAATTAGGTGGTGTATATACTCCTGAATACAGTTTTGTGAGCATAGATGGGGAGACTGTGCAAAAAGTTTATGTCAATGAAAGGTTTTAACTATTATACTTACTTTGTTGAAGGCTCCTGCATCGACTTCTTTATTGGAGGCTCCTGCATCAGCCTCATCAGTTCCTGGCCAGTCTTCTTCATCGGCTCCTGCATCAGCCTCATCAGTTCCTTGCCAGTCTTCTTCATCGACTCCTGCATCAGCCTCGTCAGTTTTTGCCTCGGCTTCTTCATCGGCTCCTGCATCAGCCTCATCAGTGTAGGAACTCATCGGCATATTGCAGTGGTCAACACAAGTTGAATCTGAAATCTTGGGCATCTCCAATGGTCTCATTCATTGAACTAGCTTGAGGGCTTATACCATCAGGATAACAGAGCGCCAATTGATTTTGGGCTCCTCTGACCAGTACTTCTCCGCAGATGTTCTGTTACCCTTCAGCTAACTAGCCAATGATTAATTAAATCAGTTAAATTAAAACACAATGGCCCTTACAGGATCTTCAGCGGAAACCATTTCACGAGACTTTTAATTGACTCCTGGTCATGTGCTCGCCTTGGGCACATCCTGCTAGAAGCACAATTTCGTAGAGACAAAGAGATCTCTAGAAACATTAATGCATATGAACAAAAGCTAATCTCTTAATATGAGGAACATTATGGCATATTATTCAATCAACTAGGTTAATCAATGCGTTGTTAATCTGTATGTGTCTGAAATGTATGATGTCTGGTATTGAACGAAAGCTAGTGACATTTGCAATACGTTGGTGTAAATGAAAAACTAGTAGTACAAACAGTATTCATCTTGTAACGTTTGATGTAAGAGTTTCAATCTTGCAAGAGTTCTACCACGTAAAAACTACATGCAGTCTGTTAATTAATGACCTTTCCTACGTCAGTACGGGGCGTGGCCCCGCCCTTCATGGCAGCTGCTCATTGGCAGACAGTGCCATGGGGACGAACCAGACCAGGTCACTTAAAAACACCCTGCAACAAAGAAACTTTGCTTTTTGCATCAGCTAGCTTGCGCATGCTTTTGCTCTCTGCCCCCTTTCGCCTGCCCGGACACCGCGCCGCCACGCGATTGGGTCACTACGAACTTCCACGCAAACCTCTTAAGTTTCGGGACTCCCGAAGCTGCATGAACTTCCGCAAACCGACTCTCAGCAGTCCGTCACCTCGGTAACCCAGGACAACAGCCATTCACGAGCGCGTGAATCCCAAAGACGTCATCGAAGCGAGAAACCACCCAATCAGGAGCACCGTGTTTCCCCAAGGCCAGCCGGCGAGGGAGATTCGACTTCAGCAAAAAGGGCGCAAGTAACACAAACTAATGTTGTCTCTTGCTGATCTTGTGCAGATTGATCTTAAGCAGTTAAAGATAAGCCATATCTCTGCTTTTGTGGTTTCTCAGGTGTTATTCTAAGATCTTGCAAGAAGTATTAGAATTAATTTGGGACGTTGTCAACTCATATTGCATCCTCTGAACTGCCTCTGTGTGTATGTGTGAATGTGTGTGTGCGTTTGTTTGTTGTTTGCTTATTACGTAGTTAGTTTCATTTATCGTAGTGTAGCTCAATAAATCTTTGTACTCATTTTGTAAGAACTGTGTTCTTGTTTATGTGCTTCTAAGTCATTGCCTCGAGCTGTAGATCTTGTTACCTTGCTAAAAGATCATCCAATACTGTGTTATGTTATTATCGTTGGCCACGTAAATAATATTAACAAGATTGGTAAGATACGATGTCTTCTATTTGCGGGACAAATGGTAGATAAAGTGTGAATCTTTTAATCTGATTCAATCTGACTCAATTGAGTCGAATCAATGATTCGAATCTTCAGGATCCGATTCATTGAAATGAGCTAATAAACCCCTGATCGATATTAAAACGTAGGTTGATCCCCTACATCAGTTTTTGCCTCGGCTTCTTCATCGGCTCCTGTATCAGCCTCATCAGTTTCTGGCCAGTCTTCTTCATCAGCTCCTGCATCAGCCTCATCAGTTTCTTGCCAGTCTTCTTCATCGGCTCCTGCATCAGCCTCATCAGTTTTTGCCTCGGCTTCTTCATCGGCTCCTGTATCAGCCTCATCAGTTTCTGGCCAGTCTTCTTCATCGGCTCCTGCATCAGCCTCATCAGTTCCTTGCCAGTCTTCTTCATCGGCTCCTGCATCAGGCTCGTCAGTTTTTGCCTCGGCTTCTTCATCGGCTCCTGCATCAGCCTCATCAGTTTCTGGCCAGTCTTCTTCATCGGCTCCTGCATCAGCCTCGTCCGTTTTTGCCTCGGCTTCTTCATCGGCTCCTGCATCAGCCTCATCAGTTTTTGCCTCGGCTTCTTCATCGGCTCCTGTATCAGCCTCATCAGTTTCTGGCCAGTCTTCTTCATCGGCTCCTGCATCAGCCTCATCAGTTCCTTGCCAGTCTTCTTCATCGGCTCCTGCATCAGCCTCATCAGTTTCTGGCCAGTCTTCTTCATCGGCTCCTGCATCAGCCTCATCAGTTCCTTGCCAGTCTTCTTCATCGGCTCCTGCATCAGCCTCGTCAGTTTTTGCCTCGGCTTCTTCATCGGCTCCTGTATCAGCCTCGTCAGCTCCTGCCTTGGCTTCTTCATCAGCTCCTGTATCAGCCTCATCAGTTCCTGCCTTGGCTTCTTCATTGGCTCCTGTATCAGCCTCATCAGTTCCTGATTTTACCAGGGGAGACACGGGAGTCTCTGTCCTCTTGCGCCCTTTCCGCGGGGGGCTTTCAGTGCCCGCTGCCTCCCAATCCTCCTCCTCCTCCACCAAGGCCCTTTCAAAGAGTCTGCGGCGCTCGCGTGCTTGGAGAGGTCCGAGGTGAAGTGCGTAGTACTTATCTGAGGTTGAAGTGTCATGGCACATGAATTGCGCCACCTTGCGGTGATCCTCTGAAGAGTGTGCATCAGAGGTGTGGACTCGAGTCATGTGACTTGGACTCGAGTCAGACTCGAGTCATGAATTTGATGACTTTAGACTCGACTTGACAAAATATAAAAAGACTTGCAACTCGAACATAAATGGACTTGAACATAAATGACTCGGACTTTGACTAGGACTTGCCCCTATTGACTTGTAAAGACTTGCTGCTTCCCATGAAAAGCCCAAAGATAAAAAAAAGTATGTTGACATGGACAGCTCTCTCTCTCTCCCCGTTTATGTGTGCGTGTGTGTGTGACAGCTTGCGCGCGTGTGTGTGTGTGACAGCATGCGCGCTTTCGGCATGACATCCAATCAAAGCACGGTAGATTGTTTTGATTCGACAGTATCCAACGTGACTACTATGAGGCGCCGGAGTGGACAAAAGTCAAGCGAACGCAGAGAGAATTTGAATTTGAGATCGAGCCAATACTCGCGTGCCAATACTCTGTCTCTCTCTCTCTCTCTCTCTCTCTCTCACATACAACATACACCTCTCTCTCTCTCTCTCTCGCTAGTGCATTCAGTCTCTTTGCGTTCGCTTGACTTTTGTTTACGATGGCGTCTCATACCTTTAGTGCTTTTGCTCTCACGGGATCCTCCTTTTAAACTGACCCTTCGCTAAGCCACGCCCAAAAACCGCCACCCACCAATCGCGGCTTACCAATCGTGGCTACGGACAGGGGCTCTGTCAAGCTTTCGAGCGAGGGAAACAAGCCAAATCGTTGCGCAATTATTGGATTGTGCAAATCTGACACCCGCTATCCTAAAAGTTTGGACTGGGTGGTGGGATTTTTCCCTTTTCAAAACCTAAAGCCCAAGAGGAGAAATGCCAGCGTGGATCAAGCTGTGTGAGGGGCGGGAAAGGAGTTAACAGCTAAGTTGATTTTGTTTTCGATATTCACATTCAGTGATGGGTGGCAATAACTCACACTCCTCTTATCCTAAACAGATCTAAACTGTGTTCTTATATAAAAAAAAAAAGCAGGTTATGTTTACCAGCGGTCTTTTTCTTTTTTTCCACTCGATATTATGAGCACTGCTTAGTTTAAACCCTCGCCATTGTAACGCATTTAAATACATACGCTAATATTTGCTGGTAGGAAATATCTATTTGTTCACTTCTGTTATTTATACTTTGATTTGCATTTCAATTTTTTTTCTTCCACTTAACTGCAAATTTGAATAAAAACTGGATAAAGAGCACACAAACATGCTGACAGTAATAGGTACTGTACACTGTTATGGGTCAATGATGCTAATATTCGGCACAAATCTATCAGTTTCTTAGGTTATTAGATTATTTTATAATTTCACCTCTCCTGCTGTGCATGAACTATGCTGTTGAATGTTCAGCGTATGAGGTTGCTAGGCTAACCTTGCTTCAATTTTGATAAAATTATTCTCTAATCAGTTGCTATTATGTTGTGAATATACCCCTGTAATGTATACTGCAGTCCTCTTTTGTCTGGCTTTCTCAGATATCTCACCTGTTTGTCAAAAATGACTAATAAATCCTTGGGAATGTCTGACACCAGCGCATACACACTGTAATAGATGTGCCAGGCATGAAAGCTTGACAGGCGTAGCAACAGTAACTAAGGAGGGCGAGGCTTAACGAAGGGTTATTCCAAGAATGTTGATATGGTTTCTTTCTTGCTTTACTATTTATTTACAATACACAAAAAACCAAAAGGTTAAGGTAAATTCTTTAATAAATTCTAGTGTTTTTGAGTATTATACTTGTTGTATACTTGTATTATACTTATTATAGTAGTATTAACAATAGTGAACAGATAAAATACAAAGTGTAGTTTTACTACAGTAAAGTGTAGTGATTTGTAGTATAAAATACCCTATATTGTAAAATAATACAGCACTGGGTAATTTGTTTATATTACACTTGTGTTACCATAGCAACTATAGTATTACCACAACTGATCAATTGAAGTTCTTTACTGTAGTAGGCTACTGTTCAAAACACAGTACATGTCAATATACGTGTTCAGGGGCCCTGTGGAACAGCTTTCCTCAAAATGAAGAGGATAACATGGAAAATGTCCTCCACAATCTCATCAGTAAAGTGGAAGCCAGCAGACACTAGTTTACTTTATTTTAGCTGCCATGATAAAATGAGATTGATAGTGAGATTTATTTAAAGAGTGAAAAATACAGTAGGCTATAATACCTTATCAAGTGTTTCCTTATTTTTATCACATTTACATTTCTGCTTGCATTAGTTTTTGTTTAAATGCTTTTAAAATAAAATGTATTCTTTACATCCAACATCTATTCCAGGGGTGCCTTATAGTGGCGTAAACCCCTTTACAAGGGGTGTTACCCCTGTGTAAACTCTAGCCACCCCTGTGACCAACCCGATATGATTTTGCTGTTGACATTATTTATTTAAGTCTACTTACATAAATGCAATACAATGCAATATTTCAATAAATAAATAGCAGCCACTAAATTATTGTGGATTGATTGGTGCCACTGACGTAGCTGGCCTCTTCTGGCCCCCCTTAAGCAAATTTTCAGGGGGGCACCACTGGTCTATTCTCTGTCTTTAAGTGTTTGAAACTGAAAATATCTCATCATATAAAACAAACAAAAATGTTATGGTTTATTAGATTAAACATTTAATATGTAAGTCTATTTTAGTATTTTGGTTATTGTTATTAAACAGTGCAGCAATATGAATCATATCAAAAAGCATGAAAGGAAGAGGGAACACGACACAAATTGTGAGTTTGCATATAATCTCTGAGAGCGCTCAAGATAATTTGTGTGTGAGCAGTGCATATTTGCGAGCGAGAGAAAATTTGCGCATGAGCAGCGTATATTTGAGAACTCGCAATCAGTTTTGTCCACAAACAGAGGAAATCCGTGCACGAGCATCACACAAGGTAGCGAGCAAAGCTCTTCAACTTTATGTGAAGAAAACAACGTTATTGTTTGTATGAAGTAGCCTACTTCATTAACAATATGTGCTACCATTTTACATTGCTGCTAGACGGATTTGCAACTCCATCTCTTTAGCACACACGAGATTCAATTGACAAAATTCCAATTTCACTCAATTTAACTTTGCGGCATACAGGAGTTGGTCTACTGCTACCACATTGAGGTTATGTAATTTTGGTTAATCACAAGTTGATCACCGAAGACATAACATAGCACAACTAAACTTAATGAATTAGACAGCAGGAGACCTGAAATTTCTGTGTGATGTGAGGCAAAATGGAGTCTTTTTTTGGTGGAACTCGTTCTTGTGCATTATGCTGTGTAGACGAGACCCAGCACTGTTCAGTACTTTTTCAGAAAATTGCATTTGTATTTTTATATATCTGAGCAATGTTCTTTCATAAAAAAAAGGTTTGTTTAATTAATACAGATCTTACAACCATACCTAATCTGTTTAAATTTTATTTTTTTGTTAAAAAGACTCGAAAAGA